AAAACACCTCCGATGAATGATCACTAGTCTCGCCAGATGACAGGAAATGAATGAACATTTGCAAGAGCAGTCTGTGCCGCAATGATTGTGCAGCCAGTAGGTTGTATCATGCAAGCCCATACGTTGCGTGATGGATGTATGTGTACTTGTTACGGCTGTGATCATGCCTGATCTAGCCGGCCTCACTGATGTCACGGACGGTACCTCTCCAAGCGTGACGATTGGCGGCAGCGGATCTGGAGAGCTCCACCCAGTCTCTTCTCCATTGACGGAGACCGAAGGTCCAAGAATTGCTTCCATGTCTTGACGGATGGTGTCGAGCCAAGTCTTCAGTTGTCCTCCTCTTCGACGCTTCCGGGTGGGCTGCCTTGTGGTTACTTTCTTGAGCCAAAGTGCTAGAGGAGAAAACCTCGAACAAAAAATCCGAGCGGCTGTTGGGGACCGGCCTGTATTCAACATCCCCAAGATTCCTCATGCACAAATGTCAACTCACAGTATTACGTGATGGATGCCGTCAGGTTATTAGGGTAGTGTTGTCACTGAAACCTGGGTTACTAGTTACAGTGCCTCCGAGAAATACCACAAAAGTGTGACTTAAAATGGTCTGGTAACCGAGGCCTTGTTGTCATCCTCAGCTTAGAGACTGACAACTGAACATTGCTGGCAAAGGCAAAGGAGACTGGTATGGTCATTTCTAGCTAATTAGCCGTCATCAGCCAGTTATACCCAACCTCAAATGGTGCTCTACCCGACGGCTCGAACCCGCGACCTGGTTATCGGAAGCCCAACGCTCTAAGCATTGAGCCACGAGCTCGTTTTCGTGCCAGTTTCGATCGGGAATATCGATATTAGTGAATTGAAGCTCACCAATCGGTTAAGGAACGAGTTAGTTGCATTGGCGATCGGTAATCGCTCACCAACAAGAGACTGACAGTTGTCCGCCAATTATAAACTCTCCTATGTGAGGTTATGAGTGATGTTGGTTAAAAGGAATGATGGCAAGGGAAAGATCGGCATCTTCAGCGAGTCTCGCAATCCTCACGTTCACAGAGGCCATCTGCGCCAAGTACATTCGCATTTACAGAAATCGCGTTCTGTCTGGTGGGACGCACACAGGACATGACGGTTGGTCAAGCTTCGTTAAGTAACATTTGAATGAAAACCGCCCCTGACTAAAAGCGGTCTCCATTAGGCGTGTTCTTTCCCAGTTCCGACCACCGACGCAGGTGAATGGCGTTCAACGTTGCAGAGCCAGATAAAAAACGATGGAGACAAGGGAAAATTTATTATTGAGCAGGGTACGATGGTGCTGTACAAAGAGAAAACAAAGCTCTAGATAAAAACTTCACCATTATGAATTCTGCAATTCTTGTTCCTTTTTCGTCCATAATTCATCAGCTCGTGAGTGTTGGGCTCGAACAACGGTCTTGAGGTACTCACCGGCAAGTCTCTTTTTATCCTCGGAAAGGGTTTTGAGGGCCGGAGAGTGCAGGAGACGATTGTACTTCTGGTAGACGCGATCCATTTCCTTCTTCGTCCTAGTGAGCAAATCGCGACCTAAAAGGTTACGGGTAGAAGCTTTAGGTTGAAGAAAATATACCTACTGAAAGAAATAGAGTAGATAGTAATTGTTGATGTCGATCGCATAATTTCTATGTCGATAACGTGGATAGTTAAATACCTTACTCGTTTAAGAGACTACAAGAGAAGGCTACTGC